AGTTTTTGAAGTAAATTTCATGACAGCACATCATTCAGCAGCGAGTTTCGGACCATCTTTTACAACGTGTGTGCACCCTAGGGTGTTTTCCCTTTAAAATTGTTGTTACATTTCACACATGCAAAAATAAACGCCAGGTGACGTGAGGGGCACCCACATCCACCTTCCCGCTGAGAAACACGCTGACCGCCCCGAAGGGAGCCTCATCCTGCTCATGCTGCGGTTTCCTCCCGAGTCCTGGAATTCTAAAAACCAGCTCCTCCTGGGAGGCCTCGGGCTTTTCCTGCCAGTTCCACCTGGGACAGCTCCTCTCCCCCTGCCCTACTCCATCTGGGCCCCTCACGCCTCCCCACCCCCCACCCTGGGGCCTGTGCTCCGACCTCCCTGCAGCCGCCCGACATTCCTCCTAATTTCCTGACCTTCCCCACTTGCTCTCCGTCCCACTGGAGGGCGCGCGCTTTCCAGCTGGCCGCACGGGCAGGGAGAGGACCAGGTGCAGGCGCTGGAGGACAGGACTCGGAAGTCAGGCAGCGTCTTGGCCGCCCAAGGTTCCAGCACAAGCGCTCAGAACCCCTGATTCCAGGGAGCTCCCAAGGGTCTCATTCTCCTCTGGGGTCTTTGCTGGCCGAGGGCAAGGCCGGGTGAGGCCGGAGAGCAGCAGTGCCTGCCCACCACTCACCCAGAGCTGGGAGGGGCCAGGATTCAGCACCCTACGGGGGTGGGCACAGCAGATGCTGCGGGGACCTGGCGCTGCGGGCCTGGCTCCCACTCCGGCGTGGCCTGGTGGCTTCTCCCCAGTTGGGGGACCCTGCACAGGGGTTGTGGTGCCTCCCAAGGGCCAGCCCTGCCCTGAGAACCTCTCCTCCAGCCAGGATGGAATCCACACTCCCTTGAGAGGGTTCCTGGCTTCAACAGGCTCCACAGCCTCATGCTGCCAGGGCCCTGGTCACCCCGGGAACCCTGCTGAGGGCCTCCTGTCTTCCTGAGGGTGAGCTGGCCCTGCCTGTGGGTGTCTGGGGTGTGGCCTCCAGGCACCAAGCGCCTGCTGGCTCCTGATGCCTGCCTTTCTGACTGTGGTGTGTCTCTGGCCTGGCGCCTGCTTCTGGGTGCCCAGAGAGAGCAGGCTCCTCGCAGGTGGCAGGCAGCCCTGTTTGTGTGTGCATGAGCGTGTGGGGGCACCTGGAGCTGAGCGGTGGCCTGTGCTGTCACCACCCGGGGGCAGAGCGGGGTCTGGCGCTGCCACAGCTCCCGACGGAAGTTGCCTGGGCCTGGGCTGGCTCGGGCTTCTCGGCCAGGCCCTTCCCCAGCACTTCCTGCCCAGCCCCAGCTGCAGGACCTGCTGAAATCTGTGCTGTGGGAGCCCTGTCTCTGAGGGGTCACTGCAGTGACTCGGAAACCTGTCGCCCTGCTCCTGATTCCAGGAGCACTGCTTGAGCCGCCACCTTCATGACCCAGCATGACCCGGACTCCAGAACCAGGACCAAGAGTCCCCCTGGCAGTGGGGAAGCGGCGGACCCTGGGGGCTGGCACCCACCGTGGCCCCTCCCCAGCCCACTGTGGCACGGAGGGGCTGCTCCCGGGGAATGGCCCCTTCCTAGAGGCAGCCCTGGCCTGGCTTCCAGAAGGGCTCTGGGAACAGGCGGCCCCGAGTAGCTGACCACACCTGACCAGGCCAGTCTTTGGGAAGCCGCCCTCTCAGCCTGTGCACTGCAGGGACACTGGGTGGAGGGGGCCGCACAGCGGCCGTTCATGCAGGGGGAGGGGCCTTGCCTTGTGACTCAGGGGGAAGCGGCTGCTTTCAGCTGCCTTTGCCTCAGGAGGCGGCTTTGAAACCCTCCTGAGGTTTGTGGCCCTGAAATTCCTTCCTGAGACCCCGCAGGGACTGAGCCCTTGGCCCAAGGGCACCGGGGAGGGCAGAACCTCAAGACAGGGGCCCAGGACGCAGGACAGAGTGTGTGGGGCAGGTGTGCAGGCTGTGCCCAAGGGGTCTCGGGGTCAAAGGGGCTCTCGGAAATGATATCATCTCACAGTTTGTGAGCAGGTGCTCAGATCTGGATGAGCTGTTTTCTGGAGGAGGCAGGAAAGTGACGTCATTTTGTGGCTTCAGATTGACCGCAGCCTGACAGAGAGGAAGTGGTGCCAGAAGTGAAGCTGCTGACTTCCCAGCCACGGCCTCCATGGCCCACGTGTGGCAGCGGGAATCACAGCTGCATTATGACACCAGAGGGAAAGCAGCTCAGGCTGCAGTTTAAGGCGACTCCACGGAGTGCCCTGGCTTAGTTGTTGGACAGCACCGGATCAGATGGATGCCCTGGAGGAGTCAGCAGGGACCCCCGGCAGGGGCAGTGAGTGGCCTGGGCTGTGAAGAGCAGGCACCTCCAGTGTCCTCTGGCAGAGGCCCAGCACCCGGGGCCTTGCTCCTCACATGAAGGCCGAGGCCACCCTGCCCTTTGGAGTTTGTCTCTGAGCAAGGGACAGTGTGGGGATGACCAGCAAATGGCGTTCGGTCCACAAGGGGGCCCTGGTCCAGCTGGGTCTACTGAGCGCTGGCCTGCCCCTTGCCACCCAGCTCTGCCCATATGTGGCTGTCACTCCTGGGCTTCCTGGAAACGTCATTTGAGGCAGCTCAGGTTTTCCAAATCCAGTGGAAGTCACGTTGTTTGCTGCTGGAGACTGGCTGGGACTGTGCTTCCAGTGTGGGAAGGTTTAGGAGGCAGTCAGCAGCCCTCTCCCATGGCCACTGTGCCCGAGGCAGGTGCCTGGGGTGAGAAGGATTCTTCCGGATGTGGCCGTGCACTACCCAGCAGGCCTAGAGTGAACGTCTGTGTGGAGCCAGGGCTCCCATCCAGCATCCCTTAAGGGTCCTGATGGCTGGAGCTGGGGGAGGCAGGTATGGCAAGGGGCTTCCTGCACGCAAGAAAACCAGAGACCCCTGGTCAAAGAGTCAGGTGTGCACCTGCAGAGCCAGGCGTGGGCCCACAGAGCCTGTCAAGCCTGGTTTACACCACAGAGCCAGGTATGCGCTGAGAACCAGGTGTGCACGGAGAGCCAGGTGTGCATTGAGGAGTCAGGTGTGCACTGAGAGGTGTGCACTGAGAACCAGGTATCCAGAGAGAACTAGGTGTGCACTGCAGAACCTCGTTAGAACTGAGAGCCAAGTGTGCAAGGAGTCAGGTGTGCAAGAAGAGCCAGGTGTCTGTTGAGAACCAGGTGTGTGCAGAGAGCCAGGTGTGCACTGCGTATCTAAGTGCTCGTGTGGACTCTCGGGCTGGGAATGTGCTGCCCAGGACCCTGCCTCTCTGGCTGTCTTCTGTGCATTTGGGGATGCCAGAAGGGGCTTGGCTCTGGCTGGAGGGCAGCCAGCAGACTTGCCAGCCAGCACCCCCAGGTGATAAGAGCTGGTGCCCATAGGTACTCAGTAAATGTCTACATTTTGGGGAGGGCTGGAGAAAACGAAGGCCACGCCCTCTCTGCAAGGCTCGGCACAGGCCCTCTGTTTCCCAGTCCTTCGGCCACAGGGTGTCCAGGCAACGAGGGCACCAGGTCGCCTGCATCCTGTCTCCTGCGGAAAGGACAGCGCCTGCTCCTTGTCCTCCAGTAGCTGCTGGACCCTGGGGTCTGGCTGCTCTGGCGCCTGGTGGCTGGGTCTCCACTACAAGGCAGACACCAGCCTTGAATCCAACTGTCGAGGAAATGGGGTGGCCGATGGAGGCTGGGGAGACCGGGAGAGAGGGAGGTATGGGTGGTTGGAGGGCTTGAGAGACAGGGACCCACCCCTGCAAGTACAGTGGCCTGTCCCCTCCGGAACGCTCTCATTCTTCGTGCTGAAGGGAGCTGGAGGCTTGGCAGGCCTGCAAGACGAATGGGCGCTATCAACTCAGGGCTCTCGTCGGAGGAACCACCCGGAGGCAGCACCCATGGGGGTAGGGGCTTGGCCACAGGCTGGGGGGACGTCGATGGCCAATGTCAGGCCTCCTCGGTGCAGCACTGGATGCGTCTAACAGCCTCCGACCCGTGGGCGCCCCCTCAGACGTGCTGCCCAGGTGCCTAGAGCAGAAGCCGCCTCCTCAGAGGCCAGCGCGCCAGCCTGGCACCAGGGGACGCTCCCAGGGGTGCCCACAGGGAACGTGCGCATCGGGCTGGGTACTGCGGCGCGTGTGGGCTGCGAGCCCTGCCCTGTGGTCGGTCACTGGAGTCCCGGATCCTACAGATCCGAAAGGCTGAGTCGGATGCAGCAAAGGCGAAGCGGGGTTCGCAGCCCCAGACTCTGGGGGGGTCAGCGAGCAGTCGGGAGGGCGCCGGGGGCCATTCGCCGATTCTCCTGGGCCGAGGGCGCAGGCCCAGGTCGCGGGGGCCCCTCGGACTCCACGACTTCGCGGACGCGCGCCCACCGTCGCCGCTGAGGTCCCGGGCCAGGCGGCGCGTGGGTGGCTGAGCGGGAGCGCGTTCAGCTAGGCGTGGAGGCCGCGCGCGGCTGGGGGTGAGCCCAGCATGGCGGGAGACGTGCGGGGACGCGGCCCGGACTAGGGGATGCGGCCGGAAGAGGCGCGGTCGTTGCCGGGAGACGAGACGGAATGGGCGGGGCGCGGTCGTTGCCGGGAGACGAGACGGAATGGGCGGGGCGCGGCCGTTGCCCGGAGACGGGGCGGGGGCGGGGCGCGGTCGTTGCCGGGAGACGAGACGGAATGGGCGGGGCGCGGCCGTTGCCGGGAGACGGGGCGAAGCGGGGCGCGGCCGTTGCCCGGGGGCGGGGGCGGGGGCGGGGCGGGGGCGGGGCGGGGCGGGGCGGGGGCGGCGCGGGCTCCTCCGCTCTTCGTAGCGAAGTCGCGTCGGGCGCGGGTTCCTGGATCGGATCTTCTGCCAGCGGGAGGGGCGGGACTGCTTAGCTCCGCTGGGAAGGGCCTGAGAAATCCAGGGAGAACATTTTACAAGCGCCGACCCTTGTATCTCGTGAACTGAAGCCCACCACCCTTACCCGCTGATCCAACAAGCATCTACAGAACTCGGTCAATAATTTATTAGTAAAATATATATATTTCTCATTATTAAAGAATAAAAGCTTTCAGCCCTGCTGAACACACATCTGCGGTCTCAAGAAAACCAGACAAGACAGCTGACTCTCCCAAGCAGCCCTTTCCCTAAAGGCGCTTCCTAAGCTTACACACACACAAAGCTGGGGCTGTCCCTCTTGAATCCCATGGGAAACAGGCCCCAAGATCAGGGGGCTTGGAGTCGGGAGCTTGGGGTGCAGTCCACTCCCTGACACCCTCTCGAAGAGCACCCAGGGGAGCGTGGTCCTGGGATGGAGTCTTTCTGGGGATACCCCACATCTGCGCTGCCTGGAACTGGGTACCTGCGGCAGCCGCTCAGCAGGCCCCAGAGCTGGGGCAGGTGTGGCCGGAAGGGGCTGTGTATGTGGCCTCCTGAACACAGGGGGACACCAGTGGCCACCTGGAGACACATACACACGCATGCACCCACAGGCACACAGCTCATCCCAGCCTGGTGCCTGCAGACAGCTGGGGCTACGCGCGGCCACCGCAGGGAGAAGGGAGTGGCTGAGGGCCTGGACAGCAGGAGCCTCTCAGGTGGATGCATTCCTGAGGTCAGAACAGCAGCTGAGCCTGCAAAGTCAGGGTCCGGAGCCGAGCGGCGCTAGCTGGACCCTGGAATGCTGGAAGGCATGGCTTTTCCGCTGCAACTTCTCCAAATTTCAACACAGGCACAGCTGCCTCCCTAGGGTGCTGTGGGAGCTCTGGCCCCTTGCTTCCTCTGGATGGGGGGCTTCAGGGCAACCTTTGGGCCAACAGCACTCTGGAAGGAGGAAAAGATAAATGGTGTTGAAAAACTACCTGCTATAAAAGGCATATAAAGGGTACAACTAAATTTTACTTCCTTTAACGTTTCTTAAAATGTGGATTATTGGTTCATCCACATGGCCCATCCACACGATGGCAAGTGTGGCAGCCGCAGTAGATACGGCGCACGGAGGAACAGATGTCCTTCCCTGCGGTCGCTGGGGAAAGTCAGGCGCCGTGACAGCCGGGGTCAGCGTCTGCTGAGAAGCCCCCTGATTGCAGCACAGATGTCACAGTACACCCACCGCCGATGCCCTTCCCTTTTCCTTCAGACAGTCACCAAGTTTATCCACAGATAATTAGGAGAAAACCCCACTGCTCCAGAGCAGTGCCACCATCAGCCCTGTGGGGAGGCCATGCCGTCCGTCACGCAGTGGACTCCGCCTGGTGTGTGCTGGGGCCTCACCTCAGCTGGACCAGGCTTGGTCGCACCAGCCCCGGGTTTGACTGGGGGTGCTGGGGGTGCGAATGTCGGCTTGATGACCTGGGAGGGAAACAGACACAGCTGACATGGGTGCCCCAGGCAGTCCCGGCCCTAACCTGGACATCACCTTCCCTGGATCCAGAATGAAGCTCCCCACAGGCCTCGCTCTGCCCCCCAGGGGCCTGCAGGCTCCACCCCCACTGAGCTGGTTACCGAAAAACCCTCCAGGCTGCCGCCGCCCACAGAATAAAGCCTGTCAGTGGCCGAACGCCATCCTGGGCCCATCTGCCCAGTCCAGCTCCGGCCACACCTTCCACATCCCCTACCCAACCCCCAGATTATCCTTGAAGAACTTCTTTTTTTTTTTTTTCTTTTTGAGTCAGGATCTCCCTCTGTCACCCAGGCTGGAGTACAGAGGCATGATTTTGGCTTACTGCAGCCTCTCTTCCTGGGTTCAAGCAATCCTCCTGCCTCAGCCTCCTGAGTAGCTGGGACTGCAGGCACAAGCCACCACATCCAGCTAATTTTTTATTTTTTGTAGAGATGGGGTCTCCCTATGTTGCCCAGGCTGGTCTTGAACTCCTGGGCTCAAGTGATCCTCCCGCCCCAGCCTCCCAAGTGCTGGGATTACAGGCGTGAGCCAATGGGCCTGGCCTGAAGAGCTCTTAAATTGGCAGAATGTGGGGTTTTGGAAGCTCAAAGGCCAATAATTAACTACTAAAACACGTGTTTCTTTGCATGTCAGCTTTCCCAGGGTAGGGAGGCTGGAAGTCCACCACACAGAGCTGTGGAGCTCACTCCTGGCTGCGTCGCATGGAGCCTGAGTGGGCTGAGCATTTGCAATTTTCAGCAGTTTCCAAAGGACCCCACTGAGCAGCCAGGGGAGGCCGGCGCGAAGAGTGACTTCCCTCCTGCATAGTTCTGCTGCAGCCTCTGCCCCATCTTCCTCCACGCCTGGTGACCATCACTTCCTTGGCCAGAATTTCTCTGCCCCCTCCAGGCCCCCGTTTTGCCTGTCCAGACCCCTTCTAGGACTATTTCTGCAACTCACATATAAGTCCGAAGTTAGTTCAAATAAAAAGTTAAAAAGGAAAGAGAGAAATAGAAAAATCACTATTAGGGCTGGGCACGGTGGCTCACGTCTGTAACCCCAGCACTCTGGGAGGCCAAGGCAGGCAGATCACGAGGTCAGGAGATCAAGACCATCTTGGCTAACACAGTGAAACCCCGTCTCTACTAAAAAAAAAAAATATATATATATATATAAATTTAGCTGGGCATGGCGGCAGGTGCCTGTAGTCTCAGCTACATTGGGAGGCTGAGGCAGGAGAATGGCGTGAACCTGAGAGACGGAGCTTGCAGTGAGCTGAGATTGTACCCCTGCACTCCAGCCTGGGCGACAGAGCGACACTCCGTCTCAAAAAAAAAAAAAAAAAGAAAATCACTATTATGCAAACAGCACAGAACAACTGTTGCAGGCAATGTTCACCAATGGATGTTCACCAATGGATGTTCACCAATGGATGCCAATGTTCACCAATGGATGCCAATGTTCACCAATGGATGTTCACCAATGGATGTTCACCAATGGATGCCAAAACTAGTGGGTCCAAATTTAAGGTTCAAAGAGTCTCAAGGTATCTCCCCGAGGCATCTGCTAACTATAAAAAGAAGACAGGGGATTTCTAAGGAAAAATCTGTGGACGCTGCTCCAACCCGGCGCCCTGTCAACATCACCCGTGACCGAAGCTGCACGTGGGGCCAGGCCTGGGCTGTGTCCTGGGAAGGGTGTGTCCAGTGCTGCCCCTGCCAACAGTGCATGGCCCTCATCCACACGAGGAAAGAACGGGACAAACCGAAGCTGAGGGACCCTGAAAACACTGCTGGCCACACTTCCAAAGTGCAAGTGCACAGACCCCAATCCCATCAGGAAGGCCTGAACACCCTCAGACGGCTTGGCTGCCCAATCACCACAGCTTACCTGCTTTGGTGCCTGCTGGGCATAGACAGGAACTGGGAAGGGTGGCCTGGACACAGTGGCCGGAGGCTGGAGAAGATAGGGCCGAGAGCCTGGGTCAGAGCTGGGACCCCACCCCCTGCCCCTCCAGCACCCCCAGCTCCCGGATCCGAGGTTCCTGCCTCTTGTGTGTGCTGGAGGGGTCTGTGCGGCCCCACCCCAGTCCTCCCCTCAGCGGCGTGACCCCGAGCTGCAGGCCGGAGAGCATCTGCCTCTCGACACTCCTCAGACGGGCTCTGCTGAGTCCCGGAAGCTTCCCTGGCCTCTGAGCCCCAAGTTTAAGTTCAAGCTCAGATTCTGTCATGGCTCAAAGGGGTCCAGGAAGCACCCACTCCCAAAGCCTCAGTGTTGCCAGCAGGATGACCACAGCAGCTGCTCGGGGCCTCGGGGCCACTGCCAGCCCACGTGTGAAGTTAATGAAAGGGCTCTGCTGGCCTCGGGCTGCACTTGGGGTCACAGGACGGGGCCTGGACACTGCTTTCAGCCTCACGAACCCGCCAGGGGTGGTGCTTACAGCAGGGGGTGGCCTCTTCAGAGCCACCGAGGAGGCCGGGTGTCTGGTGGGCTGGCCTGTGTGGGTGGTGGGGACCTGCTCTTGGGGGCCCCTGGTTGGGGCCGGAGCCCCCTGCTTGGCCGGCATGTGGCTGGCAGCCTGGTGAAACAGGGGGTTGGAGAGCCCCGTGGTGGTCTTGGGAGTCGTGTTCCTGGGGAGGAAGCACAGGGGACGCGGTCAGTGTCCGGCCACAGGGCCCCAGCACCACACCCCGTCTGTCCCTCCCAGCTCCAGCCGACCCCTGAGAGGCTGCAGGGTGAGAGGTCGCAGCCATGAGAGACAGGCAGGCCCAGGAGACGCGGCGGACCCTGAAGAGGCAGGGACACCCCTCCATGTCCTGGGGGCCCCAGTCAGGTGGGCGGGAGATGCTTGCAGGCTGTGGGGCCAGTGTGTCCTGCGCCGTGGGGGTCTCCCGCTGCGTGGGGCTCAGCCGGGAACTGGCGGGTGCTCGTGGGGCTGGGCCAGGGTGTGGGGGCCCCACCGGGCCTCTTTGAATTTGCTCCAAGCCCAACCTGCCACCAAAACCATCCCCTGCCCTAGCCTCGGGGGATGGCAGAGTCCAGAGCAGCACCGGCCCAGTGGAGTCAGGAAGGCCCTTCAAACTCAGCTCAGGCTGGGGGGCGTCACGACGTCGGGGCATGGAGGAGCCTGGGTGTCCGTGCCGCCCACCGTGGGCCCGTGCTGGGTGCCCTTCCTCCAGCAGCAGGGACATTTCCTTGCAGCCGAGCACGGGAACCACTTACTACCCTCCGTCACAGCCCCCGCCACCCTCCGTCACGGCCCCTGCCACCCTCACCTGCTCGGGATGCGGCTCCGGGCTTTGCGGTAGACGATGATGCCTGCCAGGGTGACCACAACTGCCAGGAGCACCAGAACCACCACCACGATGACCGGGAGGCTCCCGGATGCTGTGGGACACACGGCCCCACTTCAGGCCACGACCTCAGGCAGGGGCCGGGGAGGTTCCCAGAGACACAGCCTTTCTCAGCACCCATAGGCCGTGCCCTGTGGACCCCTCAGGGAGGACCCAGTACCTTACACCGGGACTCCCAGCTCTCCAGTGACGGGTTGGAGAGCTTGGCGGGGTGGCCCTGGGCCACAGTGCTGTGGGCACAGCTGTGCCTTTGAGGCCTGATGCTCTGGACAGCCATGTGCTCAGTGGCCGCCAGGGAGGAAATGCTGGGTGGCCTCAGGGCCGTGGGCTGAGGAGGGGCTGGAAGACACAGGCTGAGGACACTGGAGTCTCAGCTCACCGCCGTGCCCTGCCCTCAGCCACTGCCCCCACTCTGGGACAGGGCTCTCCCCTCCTCACATCAGCCTGGGGGCAGACAGGCTCTGCCTATACCTGTGCGTCGATGCCTGTGGTAGCAAACCGGCACTGTGAACGCCACCAGCTTCCCGGGCCCGCAGCGTCTGCCTGGGCTCCATTCGGGCCCTCTGAGCTCGGACCCCAGCCCTACCCACGCTGGTCAGAGAAGCCTACCTGCGTGCACCTCAGTCAGCAGCTTCGCGCAGTAGGGCGAGGCCCAGCCCGCGTGGCAGTGGCACTCCTGCTTGTGGTTGCACACCTGTGGGGACGGCTGGGCTCAGGGTCAATCCCGGCGTGGACCCCAAGGGGCCGTGGGGGCTGCGCCTCCAGCATGAGGGCCCCGGGCCAGCCTCACCCCTGAGGGCCCCCTGGGTACCCGCCTGCGTGCGCCAACAGCGAGGCCTCTCCAAGTAGCCCCTGCCCACTGCCGGGCGACCACGCAGGTTCCATCCGCGGAGGCCACCCAGGCCGGGCCTCAGCCCTGAGATGGGCTCCACTGAGACCTCCATGGATAGGACACGCTGGGCTCCCCCAGCCTCAGGCTCCCTCAGAGTGGCAGCCTCTGTGCAGAGGCACTGTCCCGAGAGGCCACACATACCCCGTGGTTGTGGCACTGTCCCGAGAGGCCACACATACCCCGTGGTTGTGGCACTGTACCGAGAGGCCACACATACCCCGTGGTTGTGGCACTGTACCGAGAGGCCACACATACCCCATGGTTGTGGCACTGGGCGGAGCAGTTTCTGGATCTGTAAACGTGTAAGTCCTGGCAACGTCCCTTCCAGCAAACCTGGGGGTAGGAGGCGTCTTTCAGACGTCCGCTCCGGACCCCCGCCAGTGTCCCTTGAAACCGCGGGGTAAGATGGGGGTGGGCTGTGGTCATCACGTCCGGGGCGGCTGTGCTTCAGCCCATCTGCCGGCTGCCTACCCCTGGAGCCCCTAGGAAATGGCCCTCCTGGGGCACGTGGCAGCCGGCGATGGCCATCAGATGAACTGAGAACCATGTCTCCCCCCATCCCCCATCAGTCTCTACTAGAAGTGTGGGCAGGACTCTGTTCCCACAGCCTCAAGCAACTGCCAAGCCAGAAACGCATCTGCAGGTGGGGCACACGCCCGGGATGCCTGGGGGGTGGCGCGGCCTCTGAGCCAGGGACTTACCTTCTCTGGGCCACACCGGGTGCCCTCGGGCACTAGCTCATAGGCAGTGCCATCCTCTGTGGTGAGCGCGTGGCACACATGGTTCAGGATGCAGCTGGTGCGCCCCGGGGGATGCTGCCCGCCCTTGCACTGCAGAACGCCACACAGGTCAGCCCTGTGGACAGAGGCAGGTCATGGGCCGGCTTGCCCAGGCCCATGCTGGGGGGCCCAGGAACCACAGCAGGCTGAGGCCACACTGACCCACCTCCCTCCCACAACACAGTGTGCTTGAGCCTGGGTCCACGGGCCCAGGGCAGACCCTCATGGGAACAGGACTCCTTTGTGGAGGACCTTCTGGTGCTGACCCTGCTGTGGGAACATCACGTGTCCTGGGCCCGGGGGAATCTGGTCTCAGAAGCTCACCTGTACCAGCTGGTCTTGCAGCCTGGCAGGATGTCATAGGAGAAGCAGGACTCCTCAGCAGCCCGCCCACCTGCGGGACCAGGAGTGGGTCAGCCCTGGCAAAGCCTGCAGCCACCCTGCCAGGTCAGCTCTGTGCCTACTTCACCTGGCCCCCAGAAGGTCTGGCACTGCTGGGTCAGTGTGGGGCAGGTCCCGTTGTAGCAGTAGCCCCCGAAGCAGGGCGTGCCGTTCTCCTGGAAGGCGTCTTCTGGGCACTCAGGGTGCCGGCCGTCACAGAACTCCTCGAGGTCACATGTGTCCTTCTTGGGACGGCACGGCTCACCAGCTGGCTTCACCTGGCCCAGCAGAGAACAGCTCACTCTGGGGACAGGCCCATGCAAGCTGCCTGGTCCCTGGCGCCCCAGGGTCCCTTCCCACCTGCCAGCCATGGGCTCTGGGGGTCCCCGGTGGGAGGCTGCACTCACCCTGCACTCGTGGCAGCAGGTACCGTGCGCACACTGGGCCCCCTCAGTCAGCTGGCAGGTGGTGGAGTTGCAGCAGTGGTTCCGGCAGTCCTGGGGCAACGGCAAAGGCCTTGGCAGGCTGCACTGGGGCTGGGACAGGCTCCAGGGCGGACCGGCCGCCTCCCCTGACCACTGGGGTGCCCTGCAGCCACTCCCTCCCTGTGACCACTTTGGACACCAATGGAGCCCCAAGTTCCACGTTTGTGCAGTGGTCGCCCTGACCTGAAGGGACAGAGGTCATGGCACCCCCTGCTGATGGGAGCAGGTGCGGGGTGTGGACGCACCTCGGGGGGGCCGCAGTCGCACTGCTCCCCACGCTCTACAAACAGGTTCCCGCACACGGGGCCGCCCACCAGGTGGCTGAGGTCAGGGGCGTTGGCGAGGCAGGCCGACTGTGGCTGCTCCAAAAAGCCCTCCAGGTAGGCCCGGCTGCAGTCACTGAACATCCTGGGGAATGTGGAGCTGGTGGGGAGCGACCCGTCAGGGAGGCGGCCGGGCCCCTTCCCCACCCACCTTGCACCTCCAGCATACCCTGGCTCCGCAGGGCCCGGCCGCCTCACCCAATGCTGCCCGCCATGATGCAACGGCCGGCCTCGGAGGGTTCCCGGCAGCGGCAGCCCTGGACGTTCTCGTCGTGGTCCATGCCCAGGTTGTGGCCCATCTCGTGGGCCATGGTGCAGGCCACGCCCACGGGGTTCTTGCTGTGGTCCTGCGGGAGGGTCTGTGCTCTCAGGAAGCATGTGGCCAACTCCCCACACCTGCCACCCTCACCCCACCGGGGCCCAGGACTTGGCACAGCTTCCGGCCAACACCACCTTAAAACATAAAATCAGGCATTAAACCTGGCCTGAGGGAAGGTGGCTCCGGAGACCTGAACCGAGGCTTCCCCTCCCCTAGCCAGCTCTGGCCTCGGCCTGGCAAACCTGGGCAAGAGCCGCTCACCTGGTTCACAGCCCCTGAGCTGTGGGAGCACATGGCAGAGACCCTGGCAAGCCCCACGGTGGTCCCAGTGAAGTCGACGCCCCTGGAAGTGGGAGTGACACAGATGCCCTGGACATGGCTCCCTCCCCACTTCCCTCCCACCCCAGCCCTGTCCACCCTCCCACCCCAGCCCTGTCCACCCTCCCTCCCCAGCCCTGTCCACCCTCCCTCCCCAGCCCTCCTCACCCTGCCCACTCCGCCAACTCACGTGATGAGCTGCACGTTGTCCTGCAGGTGCCGCTGTGTCAGCCGCCGCGCCTGCCAGGCCAGGAGGTTCTCCAGTGTGACATTGGGGTCGGGGCTGACGTGGAACCTGTCCTGACGATTCCAAATCTCCAGGCCCACCAGGACCACACGGAAGTTGAGTTTCTGATATAGCTGGAGAGATGGTGGAGTCCTGGGGGTCAGGCGGGGTGGCGGAAGGTGCAGCAGGGAGGGTGGGGGCGGAGGCTGCACCTGTCCCGCTGCGAGGTGGGGCCAGGCACAGGCGAGGGGCAGAGGCAGAGCAGGTGGAACGAATCCCGTGGCAACGCTCCCCCACCTCCCGCCAGGGGCTCCGGCACCTCCGCAGCCAGGACCTCTGCAGCCAGGACCTCTGCAGCCGGCACCTCTGCAGCCGGCACCTCTGCAGCCAGGACCTCTGCAGCCGGCACCTCTGCAGCCGGCACGTCTGCAGCCAGGACCGCTGCAGCCAGGACTGCTGCCCACCTTGTCCACGTGGTTCACCACCTCCAGCACCCGATGGCGCACGGCTGCTTCGCTCCCCAGCATCTGGAACTGGGGACACGAGACCCTCAGGCTGGAGCGCACACACTCCCCATCCACCCTCCGCCGGCCGCTCTCCCACCTTCCCCGCCCCCAGCGCACCTCTGCATTGTCCGCGACCACATACAGCTCCACATAGCGTGTCCCTCGGGACGGCAGAGAGCCCTTGGGAACAGCCACAAGAAGCCAGTCAGCCTTCCCAGCCCCAGGGCCTGGACCCTCCCTCAGGGACCCGGGGCCACTGTCCAGCCCCTGCCCAGTGCTGGGGGAGTGTGGCCAGGCCTGCTCCAGGCTGCAGACGGTGGGCAGCACCCAGTGCATGGGGAGCCACGGAGACCCACAGGTCAGGCAAGCGGACACCGGCAGGACCAGCCAAACACGGCAGACGACAGTGCTCACCCCCGGCTGAGGCCTGAAGACGGCTGCCGTCCGGGGCCCCAGGAGGCTGCCCAGGCTGTCGTCACTGACCCCGCAGGTCCCCGCTGTCTGCAGGAGGTGCTCGGCCTGGTACACGGCGTGCCGCCCACCCTCTCCACCTTCATCCAGGGGCTCGATCAGGTGCAGGTCTGAGCCCACCTGGAAGAAACCCCTGAGGGGAGCGGGAGCCGGGTGTGCCGTGGGCTTCAGAGTGGCCTGGTCCTGCCCCGAAGGACCAGAGGCTCTAGTTTGTTGCCCACAGCTCCCCCTACCCTGCCACCCGTAGCCCCCGACAGGTGACTTCGGGCCCCAGGGTACAGGAGGGTGAGCTCTTGGGCTTGGCAGGGTGCCCTGAGCAGACCCCTCTGTGCGACAGCAAAGGCCTGAGTGCGAGAAGGAGGCACCCTCCCCGCCTCCCTTCCCCGCCCCCTACCCCAGGCTTAGGCCTTCCTCTCCACCCGCGGGAGCCCTGGTGTTCGTCCGCTGCACCCACCTGAGGCCGGCACAGGTGCTGAGGCTGGCAGCTGAGTCCGGGTGCCCCTCCACATGGCCCTGGTAGAAGCAGTGGTCCTGCGGGGGAAGCAGGAGAGGGGTCCACAGGTTGTGCCCCCACAGGCTTGGGGAGGGCCGCCCAACCCCTCTCTGCCCGCCCAGCTGCTTCAACCGACCCACACCTGCCTACGCAGCTGCTCCGTCACCTCGGACCCATTGGCAGCCGTGTATGTCTCCCTGTAGCCGGAGCCCAGCAGGTCCCTGAAAAAGAAGTGCTGTGGCTGCCTCGGGCCCCTCGGTACAGGGGCTGGCCCAGAGGCTGGACGCCGAGGACACCAGTGTGCTGGAGCCAGGCCCATGCAGGGGGGTGACCTGAGACCCACTCACCTGTTCTTCCGAAGGTGCAGAGTGAAGTTCTGCCCTGTGGCCCCAAGGACATAGCTCACCCTCTCTGGGTACAGGCCCTGAGCGAGGAGGGAAGGGTCCCGGGTGAGCAGCCTACCTGGGCTGGGGCCACCTCAATCCTGGGGGCCAGAGAAGCTCAGCTGGTGGGGAAGGGGTGCCGGCCTCCAGCCCCAGGCCAACGCTCCGTCCTTGAGGGTCCACAGCCTCAGGCAGGGTAGAGGGTGGAAGGTGGGGGTGGGGGTGGGGCTGTGCTGGAGGGGACCGGCAGAGCCCAGCACTTGGGTGGACAGGAAGGACACAGTGCTCCTCGGTCCTCCCAGGCCTCAGTTTCCCCATCTGACCACACATGGGTAACAACAATGCCCCTTCCCCAAGAAAGCACAAGGTGGGGGAGACAGCCTCAGCCAGGCAGCAAAGGAGGTGGGCGGTGGGGATGGCACACACACGCCCCTCCAGCGGCAGCTGTCTGCCTCCAGGCCCCGTCCCTCCCAGCAGCTGCCGGACCTGGTGGTGCCTGCAGAGCCTCCTCAACTACTGAGTCTTCAGCCCCCGTATGCAGGCTGGGACGCGGCCTGCCGAGCCCCGGGACAGCCTTAGCTGTGCCCCCGGCTGGATGAGAGCCCAGAGCAGTGGGCAGTGCACACGTGTGCACACCCACCCACTCAGGTTTCAGGAATCACCCTTGGGCAGCCCTGGTGGGGGAGGGGGGCCACTCTCAGTTCCTAGCCCCGGGGAACCCCTGCCAGGTCCCACACACACACAGGAAGGTGTGTCAACTCTGTGGTGAGCCAGCGTCACTTCTCAAAGAGGAATTTGGCTTATCAGCCTTGCCAAGTGAAACTGGGGAGGGGCCCGGGGCCAGCACAACCTACCCCTGCTCCCTTCTGGGGGCGCATAGAGTTCCTGAAGGAACCATGAGGCCCTGAGCCCCCAGGCAGCGCTGGAAGGAGGAATGGAGATGGGCCCCAGGCGACTGGAGCTGAACAGGGTAGCCCCAGATGTCCACCTGGTCTCACCACTTCCCGCAGGCTAAAGCTCCTTTCATAGAAACGGGCTCAGGGGCCAGTCAGGAACCCCCCAGACCAGCTGAGACTCACCACATGCGAGGGCAGAGCTCGGCGGACTCGGGGTCCTGGCAGACGCTGCGGCAGCACCACCTCATACCGCTCCACGCGGGCCCAGGGCCGGCTGTGGGCAATCGCTGTGGGAAGGAGTGTCAGCAGCAAGCGGGCCAGGGGGAAAGGGGTTTCCTTCCCAGAGTCCTGGGCCCTCAGATTCTGCCCCTTCCTGGTCTTGACCCTCCCCTGGGGAAATTGCCAGATAGCTCAGAAACAAAGACTCAAGTGAGGGTTCTGTGCCTAAAAGACCCCAGGGGCCCCCAGGCAGGGCCGGTGGGCCTGTGTCCGGCAGCACCCACACACGGTGCTCTGAGACCCTGCGGGTGCCAGCGGGTGCCAGCGACTCCACAGGCCTCCAGGCTGTCTCAGATGGGAGGAGGACCCCGGCGGCCAACCGTTTCCATCTCCTCCTCCATTCATCTGATCATCTGGTTGTACCTAACTGGGGAGCAGGAAGGGCCTCCCGGAGACTGTTCACCTCCCAAGTACTGGAAACTCCCTGGTTTCCAAGAGCAGAGGGCAGGGACCCAGCATGCAATGGGCAGAGTTTCGGAGACCACCAACCCCAGGACCCTTTTCTCCCGTTAAAAACAATAATGGACGTGTCTCCATGAGGGCATCTCCAACCTGCAGAGGCAGCAAGGGAGGGAGCAGCCGGCCCCCATCTGCCCAGGAACTGCCGGAAAAGAATCCCGGCCTCCAGCCTGAAGCTCCCTCACACACCCCAGCCCAAGTCACTCCAGAAGCAGGGGCGGGATCCAGGGTCAGCAGCCCCGCGTCCTCCCCCAGGCAGGAGACGGGTCCCCTCAGGCCCACACCCTTGCACTCCAGGCCCCAGCTCCTCTGCCCTCCCTTCCCTCCCTGGCCAAATACTGGGGGTGGGCAGCCCCACAGGCGAATCCCAGGAACCCAGGGCGCAGCAGGTGAAGCCGTCCTGCTTGGCCTGGCCCCGATCCCACTAACAAGCTCAGAGGCGGGACTTCCCTCTCACAGTTCACCTTTGAAGGTTCTCTCCGACCTCCCCGGCCTCCCCGGCCCAGGTGTATCCACCCAGAGACCACTGTGCACCCGACGCCTGGCTCCCAGGAACCAGCCCGAAGCGGGGCCAGGGTGCCTGGTGCGAGCAGGCCAGGGGTTCGGGGCCCGCGCCGCCTCCTGCGGGAAGAACCACCCTGCCCCGCGCCGCGCCCGGGACGGCTTCCTGGAGCCACTCACCAGGCAGCGCCATCGCGCACAGCAGCCAGAGCCCGAGGTCGCGCATGGCCGGGTCGGGGCGCGGAGGTGGAGGTGACAGCCGCGCCGGACACGGTCTGGTTTCTGCGCTCCCGGCCCGAGGCTCCTTTCCGCGCGCCCCGCCTCAGCGCCCCGCAGCCAATGGGCCCCTCGGCCGGCGGGAGGGGCGGGGAGGGCGGCACCTGGGGGCGGGGTCCGCGTCCCCCTCCCCCAACAATCCAACATCCTCCCTTGTACAGGTGAGGAAACTGAGGCACAGCCTGTCCCAAGTCCGGCCAGCACCCCGAGAGGCGGCCTGAGAGGCGGACCCGGTGGCTGGAAGGAGGTGGTGCCAGACAGATCCCGGAGGGTAAGGGACTTGTGAGGGCCGCCTGGCGGTTTCAGGAGAGGGGGGCTCCGACTTCCTGGGGAGCAGAAAGCCCCAGGCGGGGGCAAGTCACGGCTTTGTGTGCATCGGGTGAGCCCTGTGGGAAGCTCTGCTCCCCGCAAGCCTGCACCCCTCCACCAGGCTGAGGCCTCACTGGAGTGGGATAGGCGTGGACCCGATGGGCCCCCAGGTGTCCAAGTGCAGAAGGGGAGCCCCAGGTGGGGGTCCCAGCCCAGGTGATGTCAGGTGCAGGGGCCGTCCCCAGCCTAAGATCCCCAGACAGCAGCTGACGCTGGTCGACATGGACCAAAGCCTGCAGCAGCCCACCGTGGTCTGGCTCCAGCTTCTCCAGGCCTGCGGCCAAGCGTGCTTGCCCTTGGTAGCCACATTCCCCGTGGTGGGCTCAGCTTCAGGCCGAGTGCAGGTTCAGGCTGACACCACGGCTCCCCAGACAGTCCACCCCGGACCCCTCCCTGGGACTTTCACAGCCAGGCCTCCCTCCTTGGGTGGGAACAGTGGTAGTGGCAGGAACGGCAGCTCGACCGACCACGGCCGACCACACGGGGCACTGCTTGACCGAACATATTGGGGGAGGGCCTCAGGGCCTCCCTGGGGAGAGGCAGGGCAGGGCCAGCAAGGGGCTGGGAGGGAGTCCTCCCTGGAGAGAGGGCCCCAGGGCAGGGCGAGTCAGGGACCTGCACGGGCCTAGGGCAGAGGACAGAGGTCAAGGGGCAGTGGCAAGAGGCCGGGGCCTTGGACGTTATCCTGAGAAGACAGGGAACCCTGAGGATCTAAGCTGGCCTGAGTGATGCTGTCACATTTTGTCTCGAAGTCATTCTTACCCCAGTGTGAATGGCATGAAAAACAAGCAAGCAGCGGCTGGCACTGGGCTGCAGGTGACTTCTGCTGCCTGGGGGTGTCCCCGCTTGCCTGTGTGGCACAGGACGAGGCCCCCCAGGCTGCCGAGAACGTCATGAGGCTCCCAGGTAGGGCTGGGGATGCTGGCCTGTGCCTGAGCTCATGCAGGCGACCCTGTATTACAGAACGATGCCCAGCCAGCAATCACACTGCCCTTCCCTGACCCCTCGGTGCAAGTCACTCAACAGCAAAAGTGCAAAGGCGGCACGCTGGCCACATCGGAGGCACAGCAAGGCCCCTGCCGATGCTGAGCTCCCAGGGATTTATTCTTAAAAACACAGCTCGGGCCAGAATGGGCTCCTCCCACGCTGAGGAAGTCCCACCCAATCCCACAGAACATAGCTCACTCATCTCCAGCAGGCGCCGGGGGGTCTGGGAGCCTGAACTCCACAGCCCTGGAGGTTTCCCTCCTCTCCTCCTGTCACCACCTGCAAACCCCACTTCTCAAGGCCCAGGGTTTCCCAGAGCCCAGGAGACAAGACCAGGGGTTTCTGGGCCTTGCGGCCAGGCAGGAAAGCTAGCAGGATCCTCTGCTCACGGGCCCAGCATTTGCCCAACACTAAGACTGTGACAACTCGGGTTGCTGATAAATGTGTTTACTCACAGCCCAGACATGCACAGGCTGCAGACGAGAGGAAGCAGTTTGTGGCTCGAGAGTTGGACACCCCCACACCCCCGCTCTGTGGTGTTCTCAGTGAGGCAGCCCCGGGCGAGAGCTGCCCACACCCTTGTTCCCCACAGGAAACTGTTCCAGCTATCGTTCCTCCCAACCTCGCCTCCAGGGCCCTTCCTCGCTGCCCAAGGGGACCGAGGTGCTGAGAGCTAAACGGTGACAACACACACACAAGTCGGCAGGAAGAGGCAGCCTGGCCAGAACGTAGCCACAGCAGACCAACCTGGCCAGGGCAGCCCTAAAGCTCCCAGGGCCCTGTCACACCGGGGATGGCTGTGCTGCCCACTGTAGCCCTGGAGAAGGTGGGAAGACAGAGGGCAGACGATTGCCCGAGGGGGACTGGGTAGGGTGTCAATCTGCTGAGTAACTTCTACATAACAAGGCAGCACCGGATAGGGTGGGGCAGGGGTGCCAGCCAGGAGCAGAGCCTGCCCCGTGGCCACTTTTCAGTGGGTACGTCCCACGGAGGGGGAGGTGTGGGCTCCCAGGTGCCTGAGGGCCCTGTCGTGGCCTCCTGCCCCAGACCAGTTGGAACAGCAGCAGGAGGAGGGGCGTGGAGGTGGGTGAGTCCTCAGGAGAAGGAACGGGGCTGCCTCTGGGGCTGAAGCAAACCCAACGCCTGGTGGGTTTCGGGGGTTCCCTGGCCATTTCCAGAGGCTCTTCCTGGTTCCGACTGACCTCAGGGAGCCCGGCCCCAGCTCACCTGGAAGGATGTGCACACCAGGCCTGGATCTCACCCTGCATGCATCTTTGCTTGCTTCTTGCTTAAACACCATGTATTTCCACTTTGAGGCCAAAAACACCCAAAAAGGTGATAGTGTAATTTTAAAAAGCAAACAGACTAGCAAATCCAGGGAGACACCCACCCTGTCTGGGCAGCTTCTATAAAATGAAACCCAGCGCCTTGAGAAACAAAATGAGGTAAGTCGATCATTCCTGCTTTGTATTTAAACTGCAAAGACAGAGAACACAGAGCATTTTGATTTGAAAATTCTGGACCCATTTGCACCAGTCGCTGCTGACCCCACACCCTTCCTTCCTGTTGCAGCCAAGGCTCACTGTGCAGTGACTGCGACCCTGGGTGCAGGAGCTGGGGGCCCCCGCGGGACAGGCACTTGGGGGGCAGCCTTCTGGCTCCTCTCTGCAGACAGGCGCTCCAGGCGCTCCGTGTAGAAGCCGTTGAAGTCAAGCCTGTGAGGAAGGACAGTGCAGCTAGGGCGCACCCCTTCTGTGGGTGCACGCTGGGCAGCCCTGCTCCTACCATGGGGAAGTGCTCAGCTACAGAGACCATAGGAGGCTCCGCAGGGGAGAGAGTGAGGCACCTAACTACTGTTTCCACAGAAAGGTCTTCAGTCCTGTGCAGTCCTGGTCAAAGGCACAAACACAGGTTTCTTCTCTCCTGGCCCCAGAAAGTTGGGGCTCCTGTCACCTCAGCAGGGCCTGGCAATGGGGCCTAAGGTGTCAGGGGCTTGGAGAACCAAGCAGTAGTTCTCAAGGCAGGGTGGCCTCAGAAACCCCTGCTCAGGAAATCAGGACGTTTGTTGGGGGACAGGGCACAGTGTGGTCCAAAAGCACAAACAAGCACTTTCCCAAGGACAGCCCCCACCCAAGGATAGCACCCTCCAACTCCCGGTCAGCACCTCTTCTGGGCTGGCAGCTTGGCCACCTTTCCCCCTCCCTGCCCCCGAGGGCTGGGCCCCTTTCCCCAGGCTAGGTGTTCAGTGCAGCATGAGGGAAGCTGGCCCAGGCCTGACCAGCTCCACAGGACACGCACAGCTGCAGGGTGCCAACGGGGCAGCCCAGCTGCACAGAATGTCACGCCCCAGGGAGAGCCGGGCTAGCCTGATTTCAGGGAGTGGCACATGACCAGCACTAGCACCAGAACACAGACCTGCCCCACCTTCTAAAGGAGGCTACACCAGGTGGACCAGGGGAGGGTGCAGGGGAGATGGGGCCTGGATGCAGGGGCTCGTGCTGAGCTGGGGCAGGCGCTGGGCTGGGGCAAGTGTTGGGGTGGGGGAGGCGCTGGGCTGGCAGGCGCTGGAGTGGAGCAGGCTCTGCGCGGGGGCAGGCGCTGGGCTGGGCCGGGGCAGGCGCTCACCCACCTGGAGATGACGCTGGCCATGCCGTGCTCACAGTCACTGGTGCTGTAGATGCTCAGCCGAGCCAGGAGGTCCAGCAGGTGGGCTGAGAAGTTCTTGTCAAACTTGTTGATGGTGGCCTCGAAGCCAGACACCAGCTGCGCAGCGTCCGCGTGCTCGGCCAGGTGCTGGAAAGAAAGCCGGGGCACGTGAGCAATGCCCACCCCCACCGCGGGCCTTCCTGGCTCCATGCTGTTCCCAGCAGGCCGATGTCCTTTCTCTTCCTCTTTTCTTAAATAGAAAACATGGGTTCCACGATGTTTTCATGGGATTCAAGGTAAAAAGGACGTCAAAAAACGTTCCTGAAAACCCGGCACTCAGAGAAACACTCCAGGCCTCGCGGAATGAGGTGGTCAAGGATCAGACCCCACAAGACTGTACCTCGAGCTCTCCTTTGGGGTCAGATTCACAAGCAAAGCACAAGCTTTCCGAGCAGCTTCTCAGCAAGGAGGTCGGGGCGCCTCTCAGCATCCCTCACTTCTGGCCCCCACAGCCCCCAAACCCAACTCCTCTCTGCAGCTCCACTCCAGCGTGTGAACACGGGACTACCCACCCTTCATGCCACTCCAGAGCGGTGCCACAGGGCCATGCCTCCGAGGACATGCGGCCTGTCCGTGCCTGCTGAGAGCCTGATGGTTCTAACTCAGGACCAGCGCTCAGCAGGGACAGCGGCTGTGGCCCCTGTCCTCACCAGGGTGCCCTGCACAGTGCTTGCTCTGAAGATCTGTGGGGGCGCCCTCGAGTCTGACTGGCTGAGGTGGGAACCAGCGAGCTGAGAAGGTTGTGAGAGGCTCTTGTGCTTGTGCTTGGAAGCAAATTTTAAGTCTTTTCTTCAATCCGAGGGGAGACGGAAAAAGGGGGGGAGATTTGTTCTCCCTGTGTCAGGATGCTCAGGCCGCTGCCCCAGGCGGGAGGAAGCATCTCTCTCTGGCCAACCCTGGAGGCCACGCACCTTCCTGGTGAGCTCCTTCCGGGCCCGCTCCTCGGCCCCTGTGGGCAGCCCCGGGACGGTGCCTTGCTCCAGCATCTGCCCGCCCAGCTCGCTGTCCAATTTCATGCTCTGTGTAAATTTCTAGTGGGTGGAGAGTCGCAAGGAAATGCTTCTGTTAGTTACAACCACAACGCTTTGCAGAAAAAACAACTCCTGCAGGTACATCACCCGCCGCATCTCTGTTGTAGCCCGTGGCCGCAGGAGCACACGAGCATCCCCGAGGCCGCAGGAACACACGAGTGGCAGCCTGACGGTGCCTTGCTCCAGCATCTGCTCCGCCAGCTCATGTCCAATTTCATGCTCTGTGTAAATTTCTAGTGGGTGGAGAGTCGCAAGGAAATGCTTCTGTTAGTTACAACCACAACGCTTTGCAGAAAAACAACTCCCTGCAGGTACATCACCCGCCGCATCTCTGTTGTAGCCCGTGGCCGCAGGAGCACACGAGCATCCCCGAGGCCGCAGGAACACACGAGTACTCGAGGCCGCAGGAACACAACGGCATCCCCGAGGCCGCAGGAGCACACGAGCATCCCCGAGGTCGGTGAGGAGCACACGCAGCATCCCTGAGGTGGGCTGCAGGAGCACACGAGCATCCCCGAGGCCGCAGGAACACACGAGCATCCCTTGGTGGCCGCAGGAACACACGAGCATCCCTGAGGCCGCAGGAACACACGGAGATCCCCGCCGAGGCTGCAGGAGCACACGAGCATCCCTGAGGCTGCAGGAGCACATGAGCATCCCTGAGGCCGCAGGAACACACGAGCATCCCCGCCGAGGCCGCAGGAACACACGAGCATCCCCGCCGAGGCCGCAGGAGCACACGAGCATCCCCGCCGAGGCCGCAGGGAGCACACGCAGCATCCCTGAGGCTGCAGGAGCACACGAGCATCCCTGAGGCCAGGAGCACATGAGCATCCCCGCCGAGGCCGCAGGAGCACGAGCATCCCCGCCGAGGCCGTGAGCACACGAGCATCCCCGGGAGGCCGCAGGAGCACACGAGCATCCCCGAGGCCGCAGGAGCACACGAGCATCCCTGAGGCTGCAGGAGCACACGAGCATCCCCGTGGCTGCAGGGGAAATGACTTCAGCTGTGCTGACAGAATTCCCAGGTCTGCCTTCACAGAGACCAACTAATTTTCCTAAGAGCAGTGTTTTTTGTGTTTCCCTATTTGGGACCCCGAGATGGCTCTCACATGTCAGCAATAGCTCAAAGCGCCCGTGCCCTCCTCCGGACCCTCCCCATGGCACTGCCTGGAGACCCTGATCCCCAGACCCCCCGAGCCCTAGCGTGGCCCCAGGCGCCCCTTCTGCCGCTAGATGCCCAGGTTCTGCGCCATCACCAAATGGGCAGCTGCTTGTGACTAGTGCCCGCAGGTCCTTAACGGAACCAAATAACTCAAGTGCTGAGGAAAAGAGCGCACAAGGGCCATGAACAAAGGCCCCAGACAGAGACCAGCACCACGGAGGCTGAGGGACGGTTCGGAGGAACACAGCCCTGCTCACGCTGCCAGGGCAGGGGCTCCAGGAGGGAACCACCCGGCCAGGAAGACCAGGAGTTCTGGAAACACTCAGATCCCAGTGGCTCCTCCACCCACACAAGGGCAGGAAAAGATGAGCAGGCTGCGTGCGGCCGCAGTCGGGATACGGTCTGCCCACCCAACGGTGCCGCCCACGCCCACGCACCTGCATGCAGTTGGTGAACATGACGCACACAGACATGAGCTTGGAAAAGACCTTCAGCAGCTCGGGGTTGGTGAGCATGCAGTCCTTCAGGCAGGTGTCCAGGAAGCCCGTGTGGTGGCCAAGGACGTCATCAATGTTGGAGGCCTTTGGGGAACAGACCAAGCCCCTTCTCAGAAAGACGTGGCCGACAGATGGGCTTCGCGTGCGCACGTGCTCAGTTCGGGCTTTGCGCATTCCTGTTCACGCATTTCCACCTCTTAAATGGGCCTTGGGCTTTTAGGGGAAAACTTCCAAATACCACTAAAAAAATGATGGGCACGCCCCGAAGGGGTTTCAGTTTTTTTTTTTTTTTTTTTTTGAGACGGAGTCTCGCTATGTCGCCCAGGCTGGAGTGCAGTGGCCGGATCTCAGCTCACTGCAAGCTCCACCTCCCAGGTTCACACCATTCTCCTGCCTCAGCCTCCCGAGTAGCTGGGACTACAGGCGCCCGCCACCTCACCCGGCTAGTTTTTTGTATATATTTTTTTTAAAGTAGAGACGGGGTTTCACCGTGCTAGCCAGGATGGTCTCGATCTCCTGACCTCGTGATCCGCCCATCTCGGCCTCCCAAAGTGCTGGGATTACAGGCTTGAGCCACCGCGCCCGGCCGGGGTTTCAGTTCTTAAGGCAGAAGACAGGAAGGGAGGCTGCGGCTGCTTCTAGAATTTGGTAACAACAGATTCTGCCTTCAGGCCCCTCAGCCTCAGATGCGCAGTGTGGAAGGGATGACCCTGGGGGCAATGACGGCTCAGAGTCCCCAGATGAAGGCAGGCAGCAAGGGGTCCCCTGTGTGGCCAGCAATGCTGGGACAGCTCCGCCCCGGGGGGAACCCCTGCCTCTCCCCTCCCCCTGCCTCTCCCTTCTCCCTGCCTCTGCCCTCCCCTGCCTCTCCTGCCCTCCCTGTCTCCCTCACATTAATTATGTG